GAAACTCCGTCTCAAAAAAAAAAAAAAAAAAGGATGTCCTAATCCCAAGTTTCACTCACTTCCAGTGGAAGTCTCACACTGTGTACTTCCCGCTCTTGCATTTTCATACTGCTGGTCACGGGACCCTTATCATCCTAATCATTCTTAAAATAACAATGACCTCAGAAAAGCCAGATTTTCTAAAGGGGGGAAGTGGCAGCAACAATACATCCAGGTGCCCAGCTACTCCCTGGAGGCGGCAGTCCTGGCAGGCTCAGTCCAGATCTGAAAATTCTCAGTGGGACAATTTATCTACCAGGTGGACACAGACAGAAAGTGTTTCCAGGTCCATGACAAACTGCCATAATCAAAGCTGCTTTCCCAACTGGACTGAGGTTGATAAGTTGATTGCGAAGGCTAAAACAAATATTTTAGATGTTGAAAAAACTAGCTTATATACAAAGGAGACTTAATAACCTAAACCATTGTAAAAAATAACCAATTCTTGTGAAATCTGCCATTGGAAAAAAGACTTCCATTTGAAGAAGACCCTACCCCCTCTCTAGATCCACAGGGTGACCAGCTCCCACCCAGCCCAGCTATGAAGTCACGTGTGCCTCATCTCCGGTCGAGAGAGCATCTACTCTCACCGAGAGTTAAACAATAAAGCATCATATCTTTAAAAGCAACATAACAAAAGACATGGGAGCTGCCAAATGGGGCCCGGAGGAACGTTTACAAGTAAGGCATCAGTCTGTCCCTAAGAATACCACCATGCCCACAGACAGCCGGACTGGGTGGGTTCAGGTCAACAGGACGGAGCTGAGTGGAGCGGGAAGCCGGTGGGCTTCGGGAGATTGTCTTGTCCCGCTTACCGCAGGTGCTAGCTTACAGCAGTCCAGATGGGGGTCTTGAGACTCCATTTTCTGGGCTCTTCTACGCAAACCTGGAAATGGGCTTTTCCACATATTAGTTACAACCACGAAAACAGTGAACCAAAAACAAAGCAACAGCTGCATTTTGATAGCTTATCCAACAGTTCTTTAAAATCTTCCATCCTATGATTGAAAAGCAGCATGTTGTCTTTCTTTAGAGTCAGGAAACAGAAGTGAAGTTTTTGAAATAAATATTTTGCTGCTTTTTACATACCTCACCTTTGGATACGTCTAGACTTATAGGATTATAAACGTCGTTAAAAGTGCTGATTAATTTTCAGAATTACAAACGAGCACAATGTCAAAAGGTGGGTGAATGGGAAGACAGGCCATGGATTTTGAGGATACCAGTTAACTAAATGGTAAATTATGAACGTGATCTAAAGAAATGTGCATCGATTAACATCAGGTGAGTTAAAATCAGACCACTGAGCATCATTCTCCTTAATTTTCCCAGTCCTGAGATCATTAGTCGCCTACCACCAGAATTTGAGTTCTGCGCTCTCAGAAGCACTGGTTAAAACAAAGACGTGGAATAATATGCCAGTTACCTACAGCTTAGACTGCCCAAGCTCTAAGGTTAAAGTGGTGGGTATCTGTGCAAAATCGTGCCGCTCCCTTCTCCCTTGTAGTGCTGTCAGCTTCGGAACTCCTGGAAAAGGTGTGGCTGATCTGAGGGACCTCAGTACATGTCCCTGTAAATCTCCTGCAGCAGTGGGTGCAGCGCGGCGTCCGACTCGGTCTTCTTGATGATCTGCACCAGCTGTGCATGCTCCGTGACCAGCTGCCGGAGGTCCGCCATTTTTTGAAGAAGTTTCGGGAAGAGAAAGCTATCGTCTGGGTGGTTGCTCTGCAGGTGGAGTCTGAGCACATGCACAATACCCTCCTGCATTTTTTCAATGTGTCCTACGTTTAGAAGGCCGGGGCGATCTAGTCTCGAGAGAAGAGAGAGACGTTTGAGTGTGATAATCACCTAGGAACTGCTTATCAGTTTCAGGAACCAGGCATGCCTATTCTGTGCGGCCGTTCTTAGAAAACACTGCGCTGCCTTTAGATATCGTCAGCTTGACTGGAAGACAGACTTGGGTTTTGACAAAGTCACTAGGTGAAGTAGGGACAGACAGGACCCGTACTCTTTCCTAAATATTCATACTACTAGGCTGCAATACTATCCTCAGTCCATCTTATGGGGTGGCCCTTTTACTTGGGACTTACCACCTGTCCTGGAAAAAAATTGGAGAGATCAGGAGGAATAGTAAATTCTGGAGATGATACAACCACCAATTTTGCGTAATATGGGAAATGAAATTCTTTCTCTTGAGTCGAAACTGGATATTCAGCTTCAAGTGTTCCACCATATTTAAGGAATGTGATTATGTTGGAACTAGGTTTTTTTTTTTTT